AGCTACTGGAGAGAGTCCAGCAGAGGGCTACGAGGATGAGGAGGGGACTGGAGCATCTCCCCTACGAGGAGAGGCTGAGGGAGCTGGGCTTGTTCAGCCTGGAGAAGGCTGCAAGGGGACCTTAGAAATGCTGATACATATCTGAAGGGTGGGGGTCAGGAGGACGGGGCCAGACTCTTTCCAGTGGTGCCCAGCAACAGGACAAGGGGCAACGGGCACAAACTGAAGCAGAGGAAGTTCCAGCTGAACATGAGGAAGAACTTCTTCCCTCTGAGGGTGACACTGGAACAGGTTGCCCAGGGAGGTTGTCGAGTCTCCTTCTCTGGAGATACTCAAGACCCACCTGGATGCGGTCCTGTGCAGCCTGCTCTGTGTGACCCTGCTTGGGCAGGGGGTTGGACTAGGTGACCCACAGAGGTCCCTTCCAACCCCTGACATTCTGTGATTCTGTGATTCTGTATTCAGGGATGGCTTTATCCATCACACAGCCTGGACCATGCCAACCCACCAGAGATGATCCAGCCCCACTGGAATTTGTCCCTTGTGCTGAGCCCACATGCTTCCCGGCAGTGGCTTACCATGGAGATAATCACCAAGGCAGGGAAGAAGCCCATGATAACATAGCACACCAGCTCCACCAGTTTGTACCTGCGATGGACAGAGAAGCTGCTTGAAGGCAGGTGCGGAGGAGTTCTATACTTGCAATGTCCACTGCTGTGCTGCAGGAAAAGGGGTGGCAGTGCCACCACGGCAGGTCCCACGTCCTCACGCGTGAGCCACATCACCGCGACGGGGGTGGCACCCTGCTCCGGGGGGGATGGAGCCCCAGCTTGGGAGCCGCCAGCCCAGGGCCAGGCGCCTGGGGCTTCGGGGAGCCATTGGGGACCTTTCGCTTTCTATTTGGTGCCACCACGTGGAAGAAGCAACTCATGGCACTACGTCCCTGCTCCCGTGTCCCTGCTCCCACGTCCCTGCCACCAAAGCAGGTTGTAGTGAGGCGGGTGGTGGTCTCTTCTCCCAAGTAACAAGTGATAGGATGAGAGGAAATGGCCTCGAGTTGCGTCAGGGGAGATTTAGATTGGATGTTAGGAAAAATACTGAAAGAGTGGTCAGGCATTGGAACAGGCTGCCCAGGGCGGTGGGGGGGGCACCATCCCCGGGGGGGCTCGAAAAGTGTGTAGATGTGGCACTTCAGGACTGGTTTAGCATGCAGGGTGGTGTTGGGTTGATGGTTGGACTTGATGATCTCCGAGGTCTATTCCAACCTTGATGATTGTATGATTTTATGATTCAAAGCTCCTAAAAACAAGGTGCAGATGGGGAAGGACGCGGTCCAATGAAGCTCTCCACTGCCAGTTGGCCAGGAGGCTGCCCAGGGATCCTGTACCATACCCTGTACCTGTATGTCTGCCTGTCTATCTCCACCCTTCTTGCTCTCCACTGCAGCTTGTCTACCCTTGGGGCATTAAGAGAAGCTGGCAGAGCTGAGCTTGGCTCTGCGATACCCACCAACGTGGGGCCAGGCAAAGGCACTCACCGCTCATGGAAGAAGAAAACATAGATGGTCCCAATAGATGCCATGATCCAGATGATCCAGCGCATGTGGGAGGCCCAGGGACCCAGCTCGCGCAGGTTCAGCCTGCAAGAGCCGGGTCTGCGATGAGGGGGGTCCAGGGCAGCACCCCGGTCTGGGCTGTGGGCAGCGAGGTGCCAGGGAAATGCTGCCCTCACCCCCAAGGCTGTCCCACCAAAGGGTCTTCCCAACTCATAACTTCAACTTAAAGGGGTTGAAATCTAGAGGACAGGAAGGTTTTGTGGAAAGGGGTAGGGTGCAGCCTCGAGCAGAGCCAAGGCCGGAGAGGGAAGCACTATTTGCTGGAGCTGGGCTGATTTTCTCCCTTCTAGTGGGGCCAAGCAATGATCCCCACCCACCGGTAACTCACCAGGGAGCATACGACGCCGCGATGAAGAAGTAGATCACCATCCTGTCAAACATGTGCAAGCAGTGCTCCACGGACCTGCAGGATGGACAGACAGGTCAGAGCCTGCGGCACGGGGGCCTCCAGACCCTCTCCTCCTTCCTGAGCCTCATGCGATCCGGGCTGGTACCTGAGATGCCTCTTCTTCCAGGAGATGGTGTGGAAGACCGTGGAAACGATGAAGAGGCTGGACAAGCCAAAGCCATAGATCCAGGCTGAGATGGTTTCCCACTGGTCGTCAGAGAGGATGTAGAGGATGGAACTGCCGAGGATGCTGGGCAGGATCCAGAACTGGAAGGGAGAAGCAAACCTGCTGCTGATTCTCTGTGTTTCCACTGAGCAGCTACAACAGTCTCTCCTTTTTCTTTTAGGTGTTTCTCTTGCTTCTGGTCAAAGCTACCCATAAGCAGCAGGCTGGCCACCTGCACCAGCCAGGCAGGGTCTCTCCCCCCATGGTGCAGCTCCAAAACAGCTTCTCCAGATGGAGGTAGGGAGGAGGAGGAAGGCACAAGGTGGATGGCAACCTCTGAGTCATCTCCCAGGGCTCGGAGTGGGAGCTGCCAGCTCCCAGGGGAAACCCTGACGTGGGGAGCACTTGCTCCTGCCACCGCGTAGGCAGCCCCATGGGGTGCCTGTCACTGTTCCTGCTATGAAAAACACTTCATTTTCAGGGAGCTTTGCAAAATACTGCTGTTCCACTAAGCCCACGGCCGGCTTCTCTGGGGTCACAGGGCCATGGTGGGTGACAGCAAGGAGGACGCACACTGGCTTCCCAGGGCAGGAGGGAGAGCATCCCTGCTCTGTGGGAACACCTGGGACACGTCTGCCTCGTCACAGCCCCGAGACCCTCAGGAGCACAGATGCTTTAGGTGTTCCCTGAAGATCCTCAGGGGAACCCTGGAGAGCTGAGCACCGTCCTCGCTCACCCCGAGATGGGGACAGGGACTCACCGCGTGGGTGGCACAGTTCGCCGCGTGCTCGTACTCCGTTGGCTGGTACCTGCAGTTGGACGGGACACGGTGATTCATGCACCTGCAGAAAGAAGGAG